AACCTTTTAGAGACCGAGTGCCCAAACTGCAACCCAAAACCCACTTATGCATCGTCGAGTGCCGGGTGGGTGTGGCCAATTGGGTGGGTATGGCTGCAGTGGTAACGGCAAACTGGGTGGGACTAAAAAGTTTAATCAATCAATTCCAACTTTGCAAGAACTTTTTTTCCCGTGAGAAGTTGAAATTGACTGATTGAACCTTTTTTTTTTTTTTTTTTGCACATGGTGGCGAAGGCCTAAAGCGAAAAGGTTTTATAAAACCCAGCTGAAGGCCTAGGACTGGGGCGACGACGTGCGTGCTCACAGAGAGGGCTCTGAGTGCCGCCTCTGGCACCCGTGCCATAGGTTCGCCACCACTGTGCTATACAGTAAAGATAACTGCCAATTGGCTGGAAAGAGCATCAGGCTTCATCTGCCAGGCAGGAATGAACCACATTTGTCAACTCACAAAAAATCCCAGAAATAAAGAGAATAATATTATTGAAAACAATAGAAACCATAACAAACCAGCAACTACATTGATTTAAGAACAAGGCAGGTTAGAAACAAAGTTCAAATTCTCTTAATAGTTTTTTCTTCTTGCCCTACACAATGGACAACTCAGTCTCCTCTTTTGGGTAGGTGGGATGGCTTCTGTCTACCTGTTTTGTTCCCTGTGTTTTGAGCCTGTGTTGTTCCCTGACTGTGTGGGAACTGACTCTTGTAGTTGATTGCTGCAATTTTATGTTTGTATGCCATTTTAAATAAGCCTAGGATTTTCAGAACTACACTTTCTACTCTTAATCAGAATGACCCCAAAATAGAATCTGCCCATATATTAAGTGGTGATTCTAGATCACAATTTCTGTGTAGGTCTTTGTGGAGATCAGGAAATGCGATCCATCTGCCCTATTCTGTTCTGGGCTAAACTACACTCAAGTCCTTTCTGCAATTGATCTATAATAATGTATAGCTTCTTTGGCTTAGCTATCATTGCCACTCTTCTCTCATCTCCTACCTCTATCTCTGGATATTTTGGATTACATTTCCCAATGCCTCGTTCCGTTATTCATGCTGCTTGTAATTGATGGACAACTTGTCCATCCGTTTCCATCCTCAGTGCAGCTACTAAGGCCCCATCTGTCTCCCTGAGAAAGCAGCTCACCTGAAGAATTATTTCATCACAGCGACCTGTAGTACGAAACCCTCAGCTTATGCCTATGTTTTCTTTCAGCCTTTCTCAATTTTGCCTGTCATCTGACTTAAAAGTTAAAAGCTGCGGGAGATATTGCTGAAGACTCATTCTCAACCATCAGAGAAGAATAATATTAATTCATTTATGGAATATTCATTGCAGAGCACTGCAGAAAACTTAAGAACTTTTTTGTGCAGTCAGATTGATCAAACACACAATAGCTACATAGAAGCATCTCTGTGCATCTCTGCCTGAGGCATTTTTATAAACCACTTTTTTGGCTTGGGCTCAAGCCTCGTTTATCTGATTGTTGCTTTGTTAACAAATCTTCCCAGTGTCCTAAGCCATTCTCTATATCAGGGGTGTCAAACTACCGGCCCGTGGGCCAGATGTGTCACAAGGAAACCGCGCCTACCCCATTGCTGGCAATGGGGGAAAAGCTCCGATACGTCACGCGGTGTCATGTGACGTTGCAAGTTTGACATGTCTGTCTATATTAATTACATAACTTGTACAGACATTTGGGCAAAAATGGTTTCAAGTGCCTATAATATTTTAAAGATGGTGTCAGTAATATGGTATCCATAACAATCCCATAAATTAAAATATTTAAAAAATCATACAACTTACTTAAATTTTCACCAAAATCTGGTGGTCTAATGTCAGATTTAAAGTTTGGCCTTTTCTTTTGCCTCCACTTCACAACTCATATAGTAAAGATCAAGTAAATTCATAATAATGTACAAACAGATATTTGATTCATTCAAATATCTCCTAATCTCTCTCACACATACTGTACTAATCTTCTACTAACAATAGAAGATAGGTAATAAAATTAAGTTACATCAAAGCTGTAACCAGTCATAATTTCAAGTCCATTAGATACAGAAGCTATTGGCTGTGTGGCTTTTTGCTTTCTACCTACATGTCAGGCACACAAAAGAATGAGAGGTAAATTGCTCACATCATTGTAGGACATGGATGTCCTTCCAGGCAAAAGCAAGCCAATGTCTCAGAAGGCCACCTATTAGAGCAATTGAAGCAATACTGCAACTTCTGGCCAAGGGCACCAGGTTGGGGAAAGAAGTTGTAAACAGCTTTTGGCTCCCCAGCTGGACTGATTTTCCAATTAAGTTAACTGGGAAATTGGTCCATGTGAGTTTATTATATTGAGGCAGGTTCCTGCAACCCTCTGAGGCCCCCAGCTGGTTATATCAGCAGCTTTGCAGCTTTTCTGTCACTGCTTAGTTTGCCTTTGAAGAGATGTGGAAGCATGGCTGATGCATGCAGAATTTGGCTGTGATCATACCTGATGTGATTGCCGCCTCGAGTGGGTTTGAAAGAGGGGCATCACTGACAGGAATAGTTTGCAGCACATGTTCTGTTGTTAAATCCAAATGTGGTAAAGCGGGAAAGAATATTTAAAGGAAGATGTCAGTGGAATCTTTCTCTACAACCCAAAGATTATCAGATGATAAGTATGACAATTGCCTGAACCTTTTATTCTCTGGTCTGGATTGAGGCTACTGTAATAGACCAGAAACTCTGTGCTCTAATTACATCTCCTGTAATTAGAGCTACCCCTATCAGTAAGTGGGAAACTGACTCTGATTAAGGTAGGTGACAGGAGTATCCTTTCATCTCTCTGTTCTTGGATTGTTATGAGATGATTACAAAACCCTACTTTATTTTTTTGTATTCTTTGGGCTGCTTAGGAAAACATTAAAAGATTTGGGCAATCTAAAAAGGCCTAGAGGATCAAATGAGTATAGTGTATGTGCTAATGACTAGGATGTGGAAGTTTTCATTCCACAAAGTTGACATATTTCTTTATTTGCCCTCGGATCTACAGTACACTCCTCCTCCACCGGGGTCTTCAAACTTGGTCCTTTTATGACTTGTGGACTTCAACTCCCAGAATTCCTCAGCCAGGCACGCTGGCTGAGGAATTCTAGGAGTTGAAGTCAACAAGTCAGAAAAGGGCCAAGTTTGAAGACCCCTATCCTGCACCAAGAGTTTGCTTTCCAATATCTTATGTGAACCACTTTTGGCCCCTGATAAAACTAACCTCAGTTTCTGGAAATAGTGATTATTACATAATTAAGAGTGTTACATTTGGAAAATATAGATAACACACCTGCAGAATACTGTATTTGTTGCTGCTGGATATTTTTAGTGGTTCTTTACTTCAGAATCCAAGGCATCTTGGGTATTATATTCCATTTATCAGGAAAACAGAATAAAGTTTGGTGAAATTATTTGTGCATTCAATTGTTACCATAGCCATATCTGCACATAAAGAAAGCAGAAAATCTGCATGTACTGAATTTGTTCTGAAAAAGACATTTTTGAAATGGATATGGTTAAAGAATGTAAGGCATGCTAATTGGACCAAAAGTCTATTGCAGCTTTTTCTTCCCAAAAAGGCCATCAGATATCTATGGAAAGGTCTAAAGAATTGTGAGCACACTATCCCTATTGCTTGTGTTGCTGAGCAACCAACATTGAGTAGAAGTATTGCAATATTCCAAATACATAAATGTGTGGCCAGAAAGATGACCTGGGAATATTTCCAAGTATAAACTGAACATTATGTTATTTTTCTATCCTACTAAATATGTGGTATGGTAAATTGCAAGTTTCCCCTCCCAAGTAACTTTGTAAAACACAGTTAAGCAAATATTAAACTGTAGATATTGGTAAGCTTAAATCTTCTGAATTTTGTTTTTTGATAACATCTTTTGTTGAGCTAAATGGAAGTCCCTTTTAGGTCTCTGTACACAGCTTCAGGTTTGGTTCTAAAAAGAAGCTTCTGAAAGCATGGACACAAATGTAATCTCTTTCTGCAACTCTTTTGAACAGTATCATCTTTCCCCAGAATGATGGAATTGGTTTTAAACCCCATAAAATAGCTCCTGAATTATAGCATAAACAAAAATGCAGGTCTAGTCTACATGCCTAGTTCCTAGTTGAAGAAACTTGCTATTTGAAAACAAATATCAAGAACAGGAAAGGGTTTGCTCAAATTATGTGATGACCGATGGGATTTGCTGAATCTGAAATCTCTAAATATGGTTTTATGTTACATCACAGAAAGACATTTATCTTGATTTGAAGCTGATTAATATAAATTCATACAGTTTATAGGTTTCAACCTATAAAGCCTTTTATACCTCTACTACTTTTGGATTATTTGCAGGATCACATCTCTCATTAGAGTTGACCCAATTATTTTGATTGTGCCTAGATCTTCATTTGTCTCCAACATTATCTGCTTTGTGGGGGGAAAAAATGAAGACAGAGCTATTCCAGGGGAGGAGTGGACTTGGGGGTCTGATAGCATGTACGATTTTTAATTTTATATGCATTTATAAGATATTTTGTTTGCTTATGTTTATTACTCTGAGTGGTAAGTGTCTATATGGGATCAGTGGTCACTGATTAATAAACCAATTGGTCTTGAAGTCCTGCTGAATAGTTCTTGTTGCTATTTCAATTCAAACTTATTTTTGGAACCCAGTGCAGAATATAGGGAGCTATGCTTTCATAATGTAAGCTAGAGCTATCTAACATACCAAAGCAGTGGGAAATCCCAAACGACTTTAATGTGTATATAATATTGTGTATGAAATGTGTACTTGTACCAAATTAATTCAGGTGGCTTTGTTCAAATCAAAGTTGAAAAAGGGTGAATGGGTGCCTTGAATGTGTTTATTGGAAGAATAAATGCTTTCCCCACTAGCATCTCTATTCTCAAACACATTTTGTTTCTTTCCTATGTCTTCCACTTCCTTTTGATGCTGGCTGTACAGACTGGACCAAGAATATGCTGAATGGCACCTCAGTCCCCAAATTCATGCTGCTTGGCTTTCCTGAGCTTCAGGAGTTCCAATTACTGTCCTTCGTCATTCTCCTCTCCGTCTATCTCTTCATACTCCTTGGCAATGGCTTGATCATTGTCCTATCCCATATAGATATGAGCTTGCGATTCCCCATGTACTTTTTCCTGAGGCATTTCTCATTCCTTGAGATGTGTTATACCTCAGTTACTCTTCCCCAGTTGCTAAGAAATGTCCTCAGGGCATCCTGTGCCATCTCCTTCTGGACCTGCCTCACTCAGATGTATTTCTTCTTTTTCTTTGGCTCCACAGAGTTCCTTCTCTTGGCTGCTATGGCCTATGATAGGTATTTAGCCATCTGTCACCCATTGCAATATCCAGTGCTCATGGACAGCCATGTTTGTGTCTGCCTCGCCTTGGGTTCCTGGCTGATTGGATTTTTGACTCCCTTCCTGCCCATAGCCTTCATTTCACAGTTGCCATTTAACAGCAGCAACCAGATCAACCACTTCTTCTGTGACACGGGGCCCTTGATTAAGCTCTCGACTGGAAATACTTTTATGGCTGACACAATGGTATTCCTGGTCTCCGCAGTGATTGTTCTCATATCTTTCCTTCTGACATTGACTTCATACGCGCTGATTGTTTCAGCCATCTGCCATATCCCTTCTGTGTCAGGAAGGCATAAGGCCTTTTCTACCTGTTCCAGTCACCTCATGGTGGTTACTATCTTCTACGGGACAGTAATCTTCACATATCTCTGCCCTCATTCTGATCAGACTTTTGAAATAGAAAAAGTTGTCTCACTGCTCTATGCTGTGGTCACTCCAGTGTTGAATCCAATTATCTACACCCTGAGAAACAAAGATGTGAAAAGATCTGTGGAAAAGATCCTCTACCGTGTAAAGAACAAGCAAAGAAAAATGTCATAAACCTCATCCGACAAAACTGGCAAGCTGAGGGAAAGTTGTAGTAAATAAACATATCTTTGTACAGAAGACACTCGCATGTGTTTTTAACTGACAATAAAGTGACATTCTTGAGTCCTTGTAAACATCAGTGTATATATTTTTATGCTGTGTATTAGCACATGACATACACTGAGGAATTGTCTTCAAAGCTGTATTATTGTTGGAAGGGTTTTTTTGTTGTAACAATTAGCAAAACAAATTAAAGCCAAACAAGGAAGAGATTGTTTTTTCTTGAAACAGAAAATAAAATATGTTTTCTAATACATTTGTACAGTAGTGACTCTTCACCCACATTAGCTCAATACATCACTTGGGCCCAACAAATGTGCAACAAAGAACAGTCCAGCCTTTGGAATATTAAGAAGGATGAAGTGAATTTCTAAATTCAATCCATATAAATACAGAAGTGATCGAATCAGTAGTGAGCCTTGGGCAGAATTTAGAGATAGATGCCCACTTCCTGATCAGCAGAATAATTATAGCTGTTTCTAGGTGGATCTTTTATCATGTGCTTGTGAGAGTTCTAGGAAGAACTTTTAAGGTAGGCTATTGTTATTCAGGCTGCAATCAGGATAGATGTCCACCAATTAAAGGTTATCCAGCCCTCCTAGAACAGGGGTCTTTACACTGTGTTTCACAAATCATAGAATTTCATAAGAAATTGATGGGTTTCTTTGAGTGACTGGGGGTGGGTTAGTTTATGTCAGTGGTTCCCAACCTTTTCTATACCCTGCACCCCTAGAACGCTTCTGATATATTCTCGCACCCCTTACAAAAGTTCGAAATAACGGCATCAAATTATGCATATACACTATAATTTTGAAAACCCAAGTTTTTACACCCCCTGGAATATCATCTCGCATCCCCGGTTGGGAACCCCTGTTTTATGTGAACACAACTAATTTTCTGTCACTAAAGCCTTGAGTCCAATCAGGGTATGGGAAATTTCTTTTTAACTAACTGGTTCGGTAGCTGAAGAAGTATGAAAACCCGTGCTCTAGAAGATAATGTCTGACTCATTACTGTCCACTGAATAATTCCTGCCTGCTATTAATGGCTGTAAATAAGAGTGCCTTTCATTGTCATAGATTGGAAGAATGCTAGATAGGAGGATACAGCAGACCAGCTGAAATTTTGAAATGGAATCTTGTTCGTTTCTTTTTAAAAGGGAGAGCAAGCAGGCAGTGCTGCATGTGGAAAGGGGGTGATAATTGAAGACATCTTAAGAAAGAAGAGAATGTGAAGTGGGCAAAGCAAGACTCTCTGTGCCTTTTCTCACAACTTGTATTCTGGGGGAGGAATAACCCAGGAATGCTTTAGCTGTATTATTTGACAAGAGTGACCTGAGAGGTACATTGCAAGGGACAGCAGAGAATGGTGAGTAGAGGGTTGGTTTGAGGATTGAGAAGAGGTGTTAAAATTGCCTTCTGGCCGTGAAGTTCCCTAGTTTGGCTTTGGGACTAGTTGCCTTGCCTCATCTTGACTTATTATGCAGCACTGTTGTGGGAATAAAATTAAGAGGCAAAATTCTGGAAGGAAAGTAGGATAGAGATGCAAGAAATAAATAAAATGAGTCTTTGTTTAGCAAATACAATTGGGACTGGCAACTCAGTTGTTAAGGAAGACAGTTACTAAATGAAACTGCAATTGCACTTATTACTTCAGCTTTCCTTTGCTCTACAAATCTGCAAATATTTTAAGTGCAAAGATTAGTTACAAGATGCTTTTTCATCACTGTTCTGAGGCAGTCATTAAACGAGGATTACTGTAAATAGTATATTTATCAATTGCAGTCTGCAGTTTGGGGCAAACGCAAGAAACTGTTCAGTATTATAACATAAGGAAGATAGGTAACACCCACGCAAGTCACCCTTGTCACCCTGACCACTTACAAACCTGGCCATCCCTGACCTGTCACTGAACGCCAAGCAATAAAAACAAAAACAGACTAAGGTTTTTCCCATCCATATTGATACTTGAGGTAAAACTGACTAAGCAGGTCTCCAGCTAGGAAATTGGCAAATATCATCAACTCAATCAAAACCATAAGAAATCCCCTCAAGATATGGAAATCCTTTACATACACACTAAGAACTATCCACTCAAGTTCAGCATCTGGACACACAAAGAAGTGAAGATTATCTCATTCTGCAGAGTAAGAAAGTGGCTTTTCCTTCCAACCAGACACAGCTCTTTCTCTCTCACACACCCAACAAGAAAAATCACATTCATGTGCTTTCTAAAACAAAGACCAAACTTTGCAATAAATAATTCCCTTTTAATGTTTGGCTACCTTCAATTGCCAAGTTATCCATTTCGTTGCCAAATAAATTCTATCTCTGCTTCAAGAAGTTGTCCTGTGTTCTTTGATCCAGCCCAGAAAGATCCAGAATTTCTTTCAACAATATGGTGAAATTCTGTTCAGGTAGTGCTTGACTGCCATCATTAGTATGCCCAAGACAAATGATAATTTCAAATTAAAATACACAGTAATTGTTTGCTATACACTGGTTACACTCATTCCTGGATCAAAGAGTACATTTCACAGTCACCCACATCCTGGTCATCTCATATTTGGATTAATGTGCTCTACATGAGGCAGCCCTTGAAGAGTATCCAGAAGCTGTAGTTGGCTCAAAATGCAGCTGCCCACATGGCTTTGTCCAAGTCCAAATTTGTACATGAATCACCTCTTTTGTGGAAGCTGTACTGATTGTCAGTTTGCTTCTGGGTGCAAATCAAGGTGTTGGTTATCATCTATAAAGCCCTCCATGGCTTGGGGCCAGGTTATTTGATGGACTGCCTCATCCCAATTACATCTATTAGGCCCACCAAAACAGGAAGGCAGGGAATGTTGAGTCCCAAATGTTAAGGAAGAAAGTACATCTGGTGGGACCTAGGAAAAGTGCTTTCTATATAGTGGTTCTCTCCCTTTGGAACATCATTCCCTAAATAATAAGATGGGCACCCAACCTGTTGTTTTATACAAGGCCTTGAAGATATGGTTTTGTCAGCAGGCCCGGGGACCCCATTCAGAGCCGATCAACTGGCTTGTTTGATTCTGTTGTCACTGCCGTGGGATGGGAGGGAGGTTAAATTGTAAATTTTTAACTGTGAACTTTTACAGGATCCACTCTAGGACAGTCACCGGGTCAGAGGTTTAATCTTCCGAGCTTTCAGACTCGTGCTGAAGTCCATTCTCAGGAAACTTCTCTCTAGCAGAATGTTATTTGCCTTCATTTGTGGACTTTTAATGTTGTATGCTGTCTGGAATTACAGTTTCTGAGTTGGGTGTTGAAATTTGTTCAATAAATAAATTGCATTTGGAATTTTGATTCTAAACCCAGTGTAGTCCTGGACAAATCATAGAAGATACTGCATGTCCTTTCATTTATTAACTCCTGTAAGGAAACAGTGAGATATGCTGTTCCATGATGTAGTAAGGAGGATTTAACTAATGATTGCTACCCAGTAACTGGTTCTAGGAAAGCTTGGGATCTGCAAAAAGACAGATGCTCTTACACTGAGCACCAATTCCTACATAATAAACTATGGCAAAACTATTTATTTATTAACTAGCTGTACCCCCACGCGTTGCTGTGGCTGTCTGGTAAAAGTGTGTGTTGCTTCTATGTCCAACAGATGGCGCTGTTTTCAAAAAAAGCATGTTTTTACCTGTCACAAGTGTGACATCTATATAATATAGGTATATAAAAACATGCGCATATTTGAATGCAACATTATGTCAAATTTTCAAAGCAATTGGTGAAGAACTTTAGGAGATTTAAGATTTTGAACAAACGAACATTTACATTTTTATTTATATAAAGATAGATTATATATATATCCATCTTGTCAAATGCAATTCTGGGCTGTGCACAGCAGTTGGATGAAGTACTGAAGTAGATATAAAAACAACAGATATAAAAAAGATAAAAATCTATATTAATAAATAAAAAAATACATACCGTATACAGACCCTAAGTGAAGGAGAATAAGAATGACTACCTCAACAAGGGATCATCTAAGCATGTCTACAAATGTGTGTACACACATATACATATATATATATATACACACACACACAATATTTGTACTACCGTTTTGCATTTTTTGGGTGGTTAGAGACTTTAAGAGATAAAATGGGAGCTGTAAGCCTTGTAAGGGCTTATATTGTCCATTTGATCCCTGAAACCTCTTTACAAAAAGGACCCTGTCCTTGACATGGTGAACAAGGTCTGATGTGGCTCCTGAACTAATGACTGGCACACATCCGTGGTCGTAATGATAAAGGATCCCTTCCAGGAATTAAAGAAGACTTGGCATAGGTAACTGGTGAAAGATTTAGTCATGCAAATTTCTATTCTTTTCCCATCTTCTCTATTTCCCCCCCCCCCTATTAATTATTACTTGGCAGCAACATTGGGGAACTTGTTAACTTAAATAAAACAAGTTTTTTCCCCTTTTTCTATCTCTTTAGAGATTTGTCTCTGTTTTGTCTCTAAATAACAACTCTATAATTATCTTGTTGATTTAATATTTTAATGCATTTATTCATCACTGTACAATAGTTATCAAAGTCAGTGAAGCTTATAAAGAAAAACTAGGAATCTCATACGAGTACAAATTCAATCTTGTTCAACTTAGTATATTTTCAGATATCTAGGGTTACAGTATACTCATAGAGTATTTCCACACAGCTACTGTATATACCTCACTCCTCACACAATCTTCTCCAATTTCACACCAAATCTGGTAGTCCAGAGAAGTTACATGCTGTCTGCNGGTTAAGAGCTGTCAGGAAGGGAGAAATTTCACTAAAGTTTGGAGGAAATGGAAAAGAAGATGGCTACCAAAGCAAGCTGAATTTAGGTAGCATTGGCTGTTGAAGATTTGCTGGTTCCAGAGTGGAAAGAAGAGCATTGAAATCATATCTATAGAGCAGGGGTGTCAAACTGCCA